GCGAGAACAGAACCATCAAGAAAATGCTTAACACCAAACCAGAAGGAAATAGGAGAGTGGGAAGACCAAGGTTAAGATGGGAAGAATGTGTGTGGTAGGACGTAAGAATTTTGGGTGTAAAGAACTGCAGGAATGTAGCATCGAATAGAGAAGAATGACGAGCAATCCTGAGGAAGGCCAGGGCTCACAAAGGGCTGTCGGGCCAATGATGATGATGAGTATACTGTGTTGCCATTACAAAGAATAACCGGTTATTATTGATAACTGAAATAATCTCTGTATTTCTTTTTGTGGCAATGAAACACGTGAATGCGCCGTGTGGGTAAAGTACAGAATTCTTTAATGTTAAAGCAGGCGGTGCATATAGATATCAGCCTAAAGGGTTAGTGACAAAGCCTACTGTACTCTGCAGCTTTAAATGTGGTCTGTTTGCCTCTCCGATTTATGTAATCGCTAAAAAGGGGTGGATTTATTCTGCGTGAAGCAGATTAAAAGCCTACATTACACTTATTTCAGGTTGGGCCCCACAATTCACTCGCTATACACACAGTGGATAATTTAGTGGCCCCGACGCGCTGTAGCACTGATTAAAGAGGTGACAAATGCACAGCGTGCCGCGACACACAAAGGGAATTGCGGAGCGCTGCTCTACTGGCGCTCACAATAAAATAAAGAGCCTGTTCCAATTTAAAAGCAATGCTCAATTGAGCCCAGCTTCGAGGATAGACTGCAGCCTTCACGCGGCCCCTGTACAACACACGAGTTCTGTCCGTCCGTAGCATCCACCCAAACCACACGAGGGATGTAGATTAGGAGATCTCTACAGGTGTTCCTGAGTATGTGACAGAGTTGCGATGTTTTGGAACGACAGTAACAAATCAAAATTTGATTGAAAAGGAAATTAAGAGGAGACTGAACTCGGGTAATGCTTGCTACCACTCAGTCCAGAAACTTTTGTCTTCTCGTCGGCTGTCCAAAAACATAAAAATCAGAATAGGTGAAAGGTAAAGTTGTCCCTGTAACAGGCGGCGTAGACCCATGTGAGTCGTCGAGGCTCCCACATTTTCTAGAAAATCGGCTCACAGATGAGGTTGTCAGCCTTACGCGCCGGTCGCTCTTTACCCCCAGGAAGATTCCTGCTACTCATTTCTGTTAGATGCTGAGTGGACCCCAGGGCCATAGTGCGGCTGGAAGTATTAGATGAATTGAAAAAATCCAATGACCACATCGGGACTCGAACCAAAGACGTTCCGGCATGTAGCATAGTGCCTCAACCAACTACGCTACCGCGTACCCCAAACATTACAATATGCAAAAGCATAATTTTGCCTGTGGTTCTGTATGGGTGTCAAACTTGGTGTTTTAAATTTTGGCAGGAACACAGCCTGATGGTGTTTGAGAACAGGGTAAGAAGAGGAGGGGAAAGGGGGGTGTAGACACTTTAGAGTCGCACAGAGAAGCCAAAGAGGGCTTTGTGTCCCGTAAGACATGCACCCACTCTTGTCTGTATAGATGTATGTCATGAGTGCAGGACTAAGTTGTGGGGCACCCTGTGCGAATTCTCGGGCAGCGACAATCCATTTCAGTATAATTGTGTGGGCCCCTCAACCATCATTTGTCATCTCAAAATACTGTGTTCCACAGACCCATCACATGACCACCTCCAGCGTCATTAATAACAAGTATGCTGGCAACCCTGTGGCGGTTACAGGCAGATATCTGGGGGAATAACAGGACAGTAAAGAGAGACGAGATCCCTCAACCGCCCAGTCGGTATTACAGAACTCTGTAACGATACACAGAAAGCCGCAGAAATGGCTGACATTCCTACGTAACTCAAATCCAAGTGTGAAGAACTGCCATCATGACTCGTTATTTTCTGACTTTGTTTTAATTCGCTTAGTGGGGGGTGCAGTCCAACTGGGTCCACTCGGCACATCTGTCACTGATTGGCCTATTGCCTGCCCCGGGTGATTATGATGGCAGAGAATTTGGTGGAATGAAGATTGGCAGGGGAAACCGAAATACTCGGAGAAAAACCCGCTCCAGCGCCACTTTGTCCACCACATATCCCACTTGACCAGACCCGGGAACGAACCCGAGCCGCCGCGGTGGGAAACCAGCGACTAACCGCTTGACCTATGGCGCGGCCCAACAAACAGGACACCTGGTGGCCAAACATGGAGTTACAATGCTTCTCCCAGAAGCTCTGAGAATTGTGTAAGCTTGACTTCTGTTGAGTGGGACAGTTTCTTTCTATAATCAATATCTGAAACTTTGAACATGATTTCTAAGAAGCCTGTTGAAGTTAAAGAGGAAGCAGCTATGATGGGCGGTGGGG